TTTAACACTATTTAAATAATTCATAATACATTTTTGCCAACCAACCACTTTATTCTCTTAACTACTCAAACATCTGTTTGAAAGTATTTTTTTAAAAAATACCTAAAACCAGGGTTTGTTTTTTGCCAGGTATTGACTTCAGAGTCAATACATAGTCAATTCCAAGAGTGTTCTTTAGTTTTCCAACTTTCTTTATCTCCGGTTTACCTAACCATCACTTGACTGCTCAGGTTTTTTTGTTTTTTCACCCGTCATGATTCTGCAGTTTTTCTGTCCAGCGTCTTATAATTTAAAAATATACATTGGATCCTCTCTCTCCAGTTTGCAGACAGCTGCTCATCTCCCCTCTTCAACCCACCCTCGTTCATACCCCATAACCAGCTATTTATAAAGAATTTCTGAGACCATGACTGTCTGCCATACTGCTTTCCAGAAAGTGTTATTTCTGCCTTGTTTTTATAATGTACGGTCCTCTGATGTCCTCTTGCAACCCTGGGCCAAAACTGTGCTTTGTTTTGGCTTATTCAATTCATGCTAAATTGCTATATGTTATTAAAATGTTGCGTAATAGGGTTTTTTTCCTTTAGAGCAAAACACTTTAATTAAGTTATATTAACGAAACATTCCAAACATTCTACTTATAGACACAAAAAAGAATAGACATATCATCTTGGTTCACAAAGCAGCTGGAAACTTTGAAGTGGATATAATTATTATGTGAAAGACAGTATGGTATTTTAAGGTTTTTCGTACTGAAAACTAATCCTAAAATTTGTTCTAAAAGCACTTTAAACCATTTAAGAAGCAGGAGAAAAGAACTAAAAGAAGATACTTTTAAATATCTGAACTATTTATGATGCTGAATAAGAAGGACCATTAGATAAACTACCTTTCATTTTTTGGAATTATAGTTAAAATAAAATTTTTACTTTTTCTGTATAAAAAATGAGAAAGCTCAAAACACTTCCATTGACACTGTATTGTTTTTATCTGTTCTAATAAGGAGAACACTAAGTAGAATTTTCAAAATGATATGCTTTGCCCTGGCCGATTTGGCTCAGCGGTTAGAGCGTCAGCATGCAGTCCAGAGACACCCGGGTTCGGTTCCTGCTAAGGGCACGTACCTAGGTTGCAGTTTGTCCCTGGGCCTGAATGGGTCGTGCAGGTGGCAACCACTCGATGTGTACCTTTCACGTCGATGTTTCTCTCTCTTTCTCTTCCTCTCTCTCTCTCCCTCCCACTCTATCTGAACAAAAAATGGAAAAATGTCCTCGGGTGAAGATTTAAAAAAAAAAAAATTATATGGTTTTTTTGTTGTTGTTGAAATGTAATAGGATACCATAAATATTAGCCCTAAGAGATAATAAGAACTCTTAGATCTTATTGGAAAAATTCAGTAATTAAAATTTGTATCTCTAAATGCATAGATATAAAATAGTATGTATTTATATTCTCACACATCTGTAATCTCAAGGATGATAGTTTGCACCCACAGAAATTAGTCTCTTTTATGGCCATGCTTTATATGGACCACATAGAATAGGCAACATACATCACTTTTATAATAGGTAAAAAGTTTTTTTTGTTTTCATAATTTTTTTCTTTATTGATTTTTAGAGAGAAAGGAAGTGAGAGGGAGTGAGAAATAGAAACATCGATGAGAAAGAACATCAATTAGCTGCCTCCTGCATGACCCCTGCTGAGGATCCGGCCCACAACCTGGGCATAAGCCCAGGAAAATGTCGTCTTAGGCAGCTATACCTCCACCCCCACCATTTGCTACCACAGAAAAGCAGTGTTGGACCAGTGCCTACTCTTGAGTTTTCAGAAATGCAGTCCAGTTAACACATGCATTGTCAGGTCTTCCAGAGATCAGCCAGCGTACCAGTGTATTCATTGTTAAGAAACTACAACTGTGCAACAGGCCCAGTGGTGTTCAGTGATCTGGGCCTTCCCTCCCCCTGTGCAGACATGAATGTGGAGGCTACAAAGGGAGGAAGACAATCTCCAGGCTTAATTCATGTCTTAATCCATGTAGGTCCCAGGGAAACTTTGGAAAGTATCTTGATCCAGCAAGCGTGAATTCCTCTGATTGTTAAGAGAGTCTGGTCTTCTCCCTTCACAGTTCTGGATGAAGCACTGTCAAATTCTGCCCAACTCTAGTTTTCCAGTGTGTGAGACAATTAAGTGGTCTACATTATTCAAGCTTTGATTTTCCTGGCCTTTGGTGTTCTGTAAGATGCAGATATCAGTTGTCATTTATTATTTATTAACTTCTTTATGAATGTGATGAGTGGGAAGTAGTAAAAGGAAGTTTGATATTTTCCAGAATTATGAGCCTGTACCTGTTTGATTTGTACTCTTTATAACCATCAGTTGTTCTCAGAAGATCTTCTATCAAGTTGTGAGTGACAGGTTATATTTAACATGAATGAATATTATAATTGTGTTTTAACATTGACCCAAAGTGCCAATGTACTCGAGTCTCTTGATGGTGCATTGTGCCTCATATTCAATATAATGTGTCCAGTACTGCCCCCCCTGTTGGTGTAGATTAAAACTAAATCAAGCAGGGTCATCAGCAATCTTAACAATGTGACTAGTGATATGCTTCCTCTTCCATTCCTGTTCTTCCTAATGTCTTGATAAAAGAACGTGCCTGGGGAAGGCTGCCTGCCATACTGCTTTGAGTACTATTTGTAGTATAGTGATATTGCTTCTTGGGGAGATTATATAGGCCATGATGAGGGCATTGATTGGGAAGATTGCTCTCCCATTTTTGAGTGGTATTACATAAGTAAGATCGATTATTTTGCCATCAAACTGGATGGAAAACACAGCTGGTTCGCATTTGGTATTTGCTTTCACAATTGATGATTGGTGACATGCATTAATTTTGTGTTACCCTCATGGTAGCAGATACCTTTACATATCATCATGAAAGTATGATTTCTAATAAAAGATAATATAGCTGACAGCGTTGCTATCATGGTGCATGAGAGTAGTTGACCAGTGAACAGTCAGGAGATGCTTCAAAATTAACAAGCTGTTGTCTTCAGTGTTGGCTTGCAAATCAAGTTTTTGCAAATGTATCCATCATTCCAAAACACCATCACCCAAAAATATGTATTGCATTTGATACATTTGTCTCTCAAGTATGGTGCTTTGTTTGTTTGTTTTAAGCCAAAGAAGGGGGCTGTTGATGTTTTTATTACCCTTTCTATTTTACTCCTTTCTTTGAGGACTCCCTTGGGAGAAAGGAAAGATACTGCTAGAGATTCTCCAACAGACGTGGACCACCATGTTCCAGAAGTGTCAGCCTTTGAACTGGACATTGTTCTGACCCTTTTCTCCTCTGAGTATTCCTTTCCTTGGGATTCTACCTCTTGAATATGACCATTAATTTCAGATAAGCATTAACTTTAGCATCCATAGAAGAATGTTAGAGCATGCAGCCATTTGGGTGCTATCAGATTCACAAGTCAACTTTTTGGTTATTTTTGTTCCTAGTAAAGTACATTGGGAACATACTATCCTCAATAAACTGTAAGTTATCAGGGAAAAGATCTTTGTTTTAGAGCATAATTGATCCAAAGTATCACAAAGCATTTTAATGTGAGAAACGTGTGTATATTTTTTGACTCATTAAATTTTTCTTTTGCTTGTATGATAGAATCTTATGTCAGTTGCTTCAGTTCTAAATAGGCTGTCATGAAGTTTTGTGATCCTATGACCCCCAAAAGAAGCAAAAAAAATTTTTCAGTACTTAATAAAAGATGACATTCATATCTAGCAACGAATTAAAAAATATTTAAAAGCTATTTTGCAGTCTAGCCTTCTTTGAAGTATACCTAAGATTGTGCTTTGTGGTACAGTCACCACAAAGCTACAAAGGCTATTAGCGCCACAGGCCCTGCATCTTCAGGCTTCAGGTTTGTTGCAAGCAGGAGCCACTACAAGCATTCCATTTGAGCCTGGGTTAAGAGACCAGTCCAGGCCAGCTCCTGCTCCAGCCCTCACCCCCTTGCTAGACAGTTCTCGTTGTCTTCCTTCTGTACTTTTAAGAAATACATGTGGTAATTTTTTTTGCATATTGTGACAACCCTTAAGCAGAAACTTAATAATCCTAACCTTGGTTTGCATCCAGGGTTTGAAACAAAAATAAAAATGGAAACTTAAAATTAAATGTAAGGATAATACTTTTTAAAGTTACTTCATATATTCCTCTTTTGAAATCGGCTCATTTTCCAACTAAAACTATAGAGATACTATGAAAGGACTCCATTTGAGAAAATTGAGGAGAAAAAATTATTTTGATTAAATTGACATACTGGACTTCCACATTTTGTGATATATATACCTTGTTTTGTACAAGTTCTAATGACTTGTTTCTTTTTATGATAAGGTGTCAGTCAACTTGACTTTTTTAGAACTTGTAGAATGAGATATGGTGTTTTGTTTGTGTGAAGATTATTAAACTAGAAATTCTTAATTTAGAAACTTTCCCTTGGGTTGTTAATAATATCTCATAGGTCTAATTTTTATTATGCAGTTGACTTTCATTAAAGCTATTTAAAATGTGTTCCAGATGGAGTAAATCCTTCCAAATAATTCAATTTTTCCTTAAAATACATTTTCGCTATAACTTGTTTTTAACAAAAAAACTAAGGAATATCAAGGAATCTCACATTTCTGTTCCTACAAATAAGACAATGTATGAGCCGGTTATTTTTACTTATTTCGCCAAGTACTATGTGATTGTATTTAAACAACAGACATTTCATTTTCTTTATCAAATTAAGATTATTAACTAAACAAAAAGTATTTTGAGAGAACTTCAGAGTTCACCAAACTGGCAGAAATCATGAACTGATTTTCTTTTTACAGGTTGGGATGGTGCCAGGTAGTATTCCTATTCAATTATGAATTAGAAGATGTTTAATAAAGTTGATTCCTGCATTGCCTATAAACTCCAAATGGTAATCACTTCCTTTTCACAGTGCTCCAGCTGAGGCTGCAACAAAGGAGGACGAGAGAACAGCTAGTGGACCAGGGCATCATGCCACGTAAGATTTAAGTGTCCTTGTCGTCTCCAGTGTGACGTAACAGAATGAGCATGTCTGAGAAGAACCTGTATCACACCTACTTTCAGTTGTAGTCATGTAATCAATATGTAATTAATTACCAGATGAGTTTATAAGGAAAAACCAGGCTTCAGCACTACCAACCTAAGAGAACCATTTAGAACATGTTTTGAAAAGATGCCATTTAAAAAACGGACTTGAATTTTATATTATACAAAGAACATCTTTAAAACCCTGTAATCAGGCTAACATCAGTTCTTCAAACTGCAACATTTGTTTTAGTTGTAAATAATTGAAGTAATTGCTGTACATAATACATCCAGTATTACTTAGACTTGGAAAAGTAGCGTGATAAAATTGAATCAAAACCTTCTACTTTAAATATTAAGTGTGTCTGTTACAGGACTAATAAACATTCTATTTATAATTAATAAAATCTTTCTTGTCTGGGTACAGATATTTTCCAACTAGCTATCTCTAACTTTTGATCCTTCATATTTTGGGGAGTTGATTAATTTTAGAATATTTATCTGGGTTGTCTTCTTTAGCTTTAATCACTAAGTTTAAAGATGTTATATTTTAGAGGAGAAGAGTGGTTGTTTTGCGTAGGCCATTAGGATTATTTATATGGATTTGTCTAAAAATTGATTTCTCTAAGGAGTAACTTATTTGGCTTTAAAAAAAAATACAGAAAGAAATTACAAATGCATTTATGCTTCCTAGTCTTCTGAATCATTGATTTTACCTTTTTTGTTTTATAAAAAGCAGTTTTTCTCTGCAGTAGATTTTTGCCATTGAAATATTTTTTTCTGGACTATTAATTATCTAAATATTTTAAAGCTAGCATTGTGACAGAGTCAAAGCTGGTTTAATAATCTGCCAGGTTTCTCCACCACTACATTCCTGACTATGAACAGGATCAGTCAAATAGGATCAAATTATGATGTTTAAGACACCACTGCTAAGCCAGCTGTAGTCTGGTTTTAGAAGCTGGTTTCCAGCCAAACCTGTTGGGACAGGGCTGCTGGGAGTCTTCGCAGTCCTTCAAGTAGTAAAATACAGAGCTGACAGTAGTAATGCCACCACCAAGAGCTGGTGGGCCAACTTTTGGAGATGACAGCCCAAATAAGCCTAGTCCTATATCACCCACACCATCTGACTGCCCATAGTCATAAGTGCAGGGTGTTATCAAATAATACACAAAAGATTTTGCAAAGATAATTGATAGAAATACTACAGTAGGCAATGTTTTAGTAAAATAAACACTGCTTACCTTCACTCTGGGATTTAGGAATATTTAATGTACTAGCAGTTAACATATGAAAGAATCCCAGTGTCTTTAGAGTGATTGCCTTGTGTTGTGGTAGAAAGAGCTTGAACCTTTCCAATTCAAAATTCTTGATTTAAATCCCACTTTGACCACCATCTAGCTATATGACTTCAAGAATTTATTTTACTTCTTGGAGCTTTTTATCTGTACCGGGGCTAATACCTACCTTGCAGGGTTGTTATGATGATCAACAGCAATATAATTGTGATTGACCACAGAGCACTGGGCTAAGCCTGTTATGGGCTCTCAGTAAATGATAAATCAGATCTGTGAGACATGCAGTGCAGCCTGTCCTCATGTTCAAGGTTAGATCACTCAAGGTTAAATGTCCTGAGGACATTTGGGCTTTTCCCAGTAGTTTATATGGCCATTAAAAGCAAAGGCCTGTCAAGGAATCATCAGAGTTCCCTTGGTGATGGTAATTTGCCCCAGCTATTGGTTGGAACAAGTCTAAGCTAATATTTGCATTGTCGTTATGTATACAACTCCATTTTAAATGTTTGCTTTTTTTATTTGTGAAATACATATATTTTTTAAAATTTTTATAAAAGTTTATTTGAGCCAACTGACAACATACACCAGAGAGCAATATCTCAAATGCTCCTGTAAATATGTAATTTTAAATCTGAAACATCTAAGGTTCCAGATTTTGCAGATCTCCTAAATGAACTAGTAAATAAATGGAACTGCAGATGGGAACTAATAAGATTAAGAAGAAACATCAACAAGAAATACTGTAACATTTGACTGAAGTATTAATTCCTCTATTTATACCACGGAACCTATTTTTTTCCCTCTCACAGCTTTGAAGAGCCCAGCGGCATTCCATGAGCAGATAAAAAGCTTGGAACGAGCCAGAGTAAGAAATCTGCTTCTCTCTTTTACTTCAAAATACCTGTGGACAAGTAGCAATCTTACTCCTAAATAGGATACGTGGCATATAGAGTAATATACTCTGGAGTAGTTTTATCTTGGAGGTTGGTAGAAGATACATGACATTCAAATTTTGTTCTTTTAAAACTAGTGACTAATTTTGTACATAAAGGACAATCATACTTCTTCACTTTCTTGCTTTCAGGGTATAACCAGTTTTTAAAATAATCATGAAGTAATTCTGCCATTTGTTACCCCAGCAGATGGACATAGACCCTACTATGTTACCTGTACATTTGAACAAGGGTAGGAGAGTCTGGCCAGATGAAAGAAATGGCTACATTCCACTGTGCTCGATTCTTCGAGTTGACTCCATCATAGTTGCACACTGAATTGATATTTATTATTTTTCTTTTAAAGTACCATTATGCACATTTCTTTTCTTTTTGTTTTAAGGAAAACTTTTATCATGTTTTTGAAAAGCATGTTCCAAATATTATTTTAGAATTTCCTCAGGATACAAAAATGATTTCTTAGAGTCTTATAAAATTTAAAATCCTATTGTTGGGGGTTGAATACAGTTCTGAATAAGAAAATATGATCAAGGATATAAACTCATCAAAGAAAATACATGAAGAAATTTTTAGAAAATTTGTTATCTAGGTGGATTTTTTACTTGATCTGAAGTTTAGGTTTTATTGATTTTAGATATTTAAATGTTCAAAATTCTATGTCAGTTCAAAATGCAGTTTCAAAATTGAACCTTTGCGTTTCTCAAGTTTTAAAATAAAAGTCTATAAATTGATTACTTTATACCAGCATACACTTTTAGTCCTTTTTCAATGTTTGAAGGCTGCAATTTAAATCATAAATTGGATAATAGTTTCTCAGAAAAGAGTGCTAGTTTCTACTCTTTTCTTCCTCTCAAAATCATGACCAAAAGAGTATCAATTAATTTAAGTGGAGTACCTTGAGAGAAAAAGATGTAAAACCACAATAAGTCATAATCAATTTATAGTAAGGCTCTCTCTCCTTTTTTATTAAGACTGAAAACTTTTTGAAGCACAAGATTCGAAGCCGACCAGATCGTTCTGAACTTGTCAGGATGCACATTTTAGAAGGTAAAAATTTTATTTCTGCTTACTTTACTGCATTTTCTCAAGAATATAAATGAGAATGCAACCATTTCCGTATATTCCCATTTTAATAACTTTTACCCTAGGCTGACATCCTCCATATTGGATGGCAACGTGAAGACCCACAGTTGCATGTTATGTTAGATACATGGGGAAGGTTTGTTCTCCAAATAACCAACTGATGGACTGACTCTTCCCCACCAGCTGGTGCCCCAGGTGTCTCTACCATACTTTTCTGGAAAACATTTTCAGTCCAGAGGATTTCTTCATTAGCAGGGGATGTGAGCTCACTCATTAGGTCATAAAGGGTACAATTAGCCACAAGTCTTAACCATAGATTTTCAGCTACTTGGACCCTGTTATGTCTTCCTGGCATAATATCTGCACCTAACATTTTCTCTTTGTTGATACTTACCCACAACAATCCAGCTTGATCTGACCACTATCTTAAACACCCTCCACTCGGCCCACCAAATTTTCTCAATGATCTGGCCTCATCACGTATGAAGCTGGTAGGGACAGTTCTCTTCCATCTTTGGTGAGATGTGTGGTTAAGGCCAGGATATTTTTCTCTCTAAAGACATAGCCTTCTTTCTTTTTTTAAATTATTGTTGGCACTCTTACAGATGTCCCCCACTCTTCCCCCCACCACTTACCTCCCACCCTCAGCCTTCAACACATTGTTGTCTGTGTCCATGGACTATGCATATATGTTCTTTGGCTAATCTCTTACAATGCTCCCCCCACACACACATCCAAAGGTGAAGTTAGCCTCTATAACCCTAGGTAGGGCCTCTCCTAATGTGAAGAATCAGTGATAATGTGACGGTCTTCATGTCTGGGGCAGGACGTGAAAGCCCCTGGCCAATAAACTCTACTTTGGCTGTGTTCTCAGAAGTCCACTGGACTTAAAAAGCTTTTCCAGAACTCCAGTGGTAGGGTAGGAGCAGCTACCAGCTATCAGGGTAAGTGAATCTTCAAAGAAGTAATTTTATTGGTAAGTAACTAGGTATATGGCTCCTTCTCTGCCTACAGATGTCTTGACCTATAAAGGAGGACATTTTTGGAGAAACAGTGCTGCCTGTTTCAACTTACCTCCTAATTGTAATATTCTTTATTAATGTACTTAAAAACAATGCAAATACATTTAACTATGAAATGGAATCATATTTGCTTTTTATAAAGAAAGCTACCCAACATGTTAAAACCTAATCATGTATGTGAATGAACAATAAGTGATGTTTTTAGGACATCTGTTCTCAAGTTGGGATTTTTTAAGTAAGAAAAAAATGTGTCATCTATAATTTTTAAAATACCTTAAAACCACCCCCGTCTTATTTTAACATTATCCAGTTTTGATTGGATTCAATGTTTGGCAGGCAAAAGCCTAAATTATTTTCTGAAGGTTAGCAGCTAAAATCCAGCCTCAGCCTAATGGAAATGAGGTGGTAATAAGACTAGGAACAGAAACATACCAAAATGCCAGCCTCTGATTATTTATTTTTGGAATATTTTCTTTCTGAACATATTCCTGATATCACTTAAGTGGTTTTGATGGGAAAGAAGAGAAGGGCAGAAGACTATCATACCTAGATCTTAACAGAAGCTTTTAAATATCAACCTGAGAGTGGTCTGCATGATCTGATTCCCCACCTATCATTCCTGTATGATTAGAAGTGTTTTATCTCACAAGATTGGAGTCACAGTTAATTATACAGCAAAATTATAAAAATAAGATGACCACACATGTTATTTTAAATTAGAGAAATGTGCATTTATTTGCCAGAATTCTGACTGAGTGCCAGGACCCTCACTTTGGGGAAGGCTTTAATGAATGGAGTTCACTTCATCTTTCGTGCATAAAGCACAACCGTTGTATATTATCTACAATTTCCATTTACTGTGGAACAAAAACTTAAAAGCACTTGAAAAGCAATCTGAGTTTTAAATCCTAGATTTTACAGTTTTTCCCCAAATCTTTTACAGTTGTTAATTGTTCTAATCTGACAATGATTTGTTGTTGTTGTTGTTGTTGTTGTTGGTACATACCCCTAGTGGGAACCGAACCTGGCACTCTCTGGTCCGCAGGCCAATGCTCCTACTGCTGAGCCAAACCGGCCAGGGCAGACAATATTTTTTTAATGACTCACTTTTATCAAGTTGTTCCAAAGCATTTAATATAGTTTTCCAAGAAATAATCATTTTATTTTTCAAGTATATCCTTTCCCCATATCATTTAATTCTACTGTGTATTGACAGTAGCAGTCCCAACAGACATGAACTATTTTGTGGACAATCAAGTCTGACTTTCGGTAAGCATAGAAATCAACTAATGGAAAGAGAAGTGCAGTGACCCACAACATGGGTTTGAGCTATACAGATCCACTTATGGACGAAAGAATACAGTGTATAGTACATATAATATACAAAATATGTGTTAATCAGCTATTTAGGTTATCAGTAAGGTTTCTGGTCAACAGTAGGCTATTAGTAGTTAAGTTTTGGGAGAATTAAAAGTTATATGTAGATTTCTGACTGTGGGGGTGGTCAGCGCCCCAAACCCCTGTGGTCAAGGGATAGCTGTACTCAAATGTGCCTGAGAGTAGTTTACTGGCCTTGGGCTTGCAGTGAGCTTTGGGCTTCAAGCAAGGACATTTTACCTACAAAATGAAGAACATCAGTTAATCCTGAGAATATTTGTGAGGAATTTCAATGAAAGCCCTTCTACTGTATAATTTAAGAGGCAGGCAACTTTTAACTCAGAATTGTGGGTTAACACCTCACATTATTTTGAATCAATTATAAACATTATTTAAAGCAATGTAATAAAAATGTTAGAGCTATGAGAAACAAGTAATTGACAGAAATACGCAAATGAACAAGTTATGATATTTATAGTAGTTTCACAGCTTCATGTATTTGTAAGTAGATGAGTTGATGCTTCTATATGACTGTTAATTACTACGCATAGTAATTGAATGTTCCTAACAGACACAAGGTTATATAAGTAGAAATAAACCTGAATTCTTAATTATGATGATCAACTCTGAAGACATACAGGGACCAGTACAAGAATATGATTTGAAGTTCTTCTCATTGACTCCTGCAGAGAAGTTTATATCCTGAGATACAGTATCCTAAGATACAATGTCTCTCTTTCTAGGAATTAGCTTTCTGATTAAGCCATATCTAAAACAGGCAACTTCTTGAGCCATAGACCACATATGTCTTGTTCACCCTCTGTATCCCCGGTACCTAATAAATGTGAATATGACCCTCCTATGAACAATAGCAGTACCCCATTTTTGGCTTGAGTTCATGTTGATTTGAGTCTGTGGGCATCCAGTAGTATAAAGCTGTCCAGGACGAAAAATATGAAATGTGTACTGGAACATTCTTAAAGACTCATTTTCTTTTTCCATAAATATGTTGAGAACACATCAATATGTTTAAACCAGTTGAACTTAAATTAGCCTGAAATAGCATTATGGACTAGAGATAGTAATTCAAGTAATTGTTAAAACTGTATTTCTTCTTTTAGAAACATTTGCAGAGCCATCCCTGCAGGCCACTCAGATGAAGTTGAAAAGAGCTCGCCTAGCTGATGATCTGAATGAAAAGATTGCTCAGAGACCTGGTCCAATGGAGCTGGTAGAGAAAAACATCCTGCCTGTAGACTCCAGTGTTAAGGAAGCAATTATAGGCAAGACTCTGAACATTTATTCTGGTAGAAAAAAGCTTGGCAGTTTTAGAGAAAACAAATTTAAAAGGCCAGCATCAATCATAAGTACTGTTTTCTGGGTGAATTATAAATTAACACTTGCATTGATTCCATTATTATTGTTATTACAGCATCCCTCGGTATCCAACGTAAATTGGTTCTAGGACGCCCCACGGATACCAAAATCCTTGAATGCTCAAGTCCTTTATGTAACATGACATAGTATTTGCATTTAACCTACCCACCCATATATTTTAAATTATCTCTAGATTATTTATAATTCCTAATAAAGGGTAAATGCTATGTAAATAGTTGTTAAACTGTCTTTTAGGGAATAATGATAAGAAAAAAGTCTGTACATGTTCAGTACAGATGCTGTCATCTTAGGCCTAAGTACATGTCAGCAACAACATAACTTTATTTTTATAACATTTTGGATCTGACGTATGAATCTGAGGATGCAAAACCTGCAGATACAGAGGGCCGACTGTATATTAGATATTGTAAGAATAGTATCTCTTACCAATTAACACAGAGATTCTCCTTACATCTGAAGTTTTAAGTCTTTAAGTTCTGATTTCATTATCACATTTTCTAAATTCAACTTACTGTATTATTCTGTTTCTGTTGTTTCGTTTAAAAATTTTACATTTTTTATTATTTTTGTTCTATTTGCTGCCAAGAAAGATAAAGAAAAATAGCTTGTTCAGTGTTAGTTCAGCAAGGTAAACAGCAGTTGACTCTAGATGTATTCATTATGAATGGTAGCATTTGTCCACTTTGTCTGACTCTTACCACACTTAGTTACTCATGTTTCCACTTTTTTTCTGGCATAAGCTTTAGCAGGAAAAAAAAAATTCCAGAATAATGCCACTTATTCAGCAAGCAATTTTTAAAGTTAATATTCTAGTCTAAAAACTGTGATAGTTTCCATTACTCATGGGAGCTTTCTGTTTTGCATTAGTATGAGTTTCGATCTTAGGCAATTTGCAGTCCATAATTTGAAGTAGTACAATCAGCTGTGATTTCTTTCAATCCCAAGGAAATGGACTCCCAAGAATAAGGTGGCAGTCTAGCTGGGCCACTCTGTGAAGTGGGACATATCACAATGTCTAGTTATCACCCCATTTTCCCCATTGCCTCATAATGTTTCATAACAGTTGGGTTCCAAATCAGAATCCAAACAAGGTCCACACATTGCCTTTGGCTGACGCATCTCTTAGATCTTAATCTTTTTTGGGGGGAGTCTTCCTCCTCCTTTCATATCTTACTATTTATTTGTTGATCAACATGCTTGTTTTATCTGTAGCATTTCCACATTCTGGATTTTACTGGATACATTTACATCCCCAGGTGTCATTAAAAACTTTCTTGTCTCCTATACTTCCTAAAACTGGCAGTTGGATCCAAAGGCTTGATAAGATTCAGATTTGATTTTTTTTCCCCCAAGTACTTATGGTGGGTAGTGGTGGGTCCTTCCACTGGAAAGTATAAGATGTTCTTTTCTTTTTTTAACTAGCTTAAGTTCTTATTTAAAACAACCAACCAAAAAACAGTTTTTTCCCCTTCTTTTTCATTTTAAGCTTGGTATTCTAAGGCCAAGATCAGTTAAGAATCATCTCTTTCTTTAGGTGTTGGGAAGGAGGGCTATCCCCAGACTCAGGGTGATTTCTCATTTGATGAAGACAGCAGTGATGCTTTGTCTCCGGACCAGCCTGCCAGCCAGGAGTCACAGGGCTCAGCGGCGTCCCCAAGTGAGCCAAGAGTTAGTGAGTCGCCGTCTCCTGTAACTACAAACACTCCAGCCCAGGTATCATCCTTCTTGCTTTAACCCCTAAATAGAGACAGTACTGTGCTTTTTATATTTCAAGTATATATCTGGTATTTTTTTAAATATGCTTTCATTGATTCAAGGAAGAGAGAGACATCCATGTGAGAGAGAAGCATCAATCAGTTGCCTCCTGTACACACTCCGACCAGGGATCAAACCCACAACCCGGCCATGTGCCCTGACTGGGAATTGAACTAGCAACCTTGTGCACAGAACGATGTTCAACCAAGTGAGCCACACTGGCCAAGGCTATATCTTGTATTTTATATAACAGTACATTCTCACCAGAAGAAAGGTCTGAAAATGTAGGGAAATACCAATTTTTCACCTGTGATCTAAACACTGTTAACATTTTTCAGTAGATTCTTGCATTTTATTTCTGTTCTATATACACTTTTTAAAAAAATTTAATCCTCACCCAAAGATATTTTTCCATTTTATCTTCGGATAGAGTGGGAGAGGGAGAGAGAGAAACATTAGTTGCCTCCTACATGATCCCGAGCAGGGCCAGGGACCAAACTGCAACCGAGGTACGTGCCCTTGACTGGAATTGAACCCACAACTCTTTGGTCCACGGGCCAAAGCTCTAACTACTGAGCCAAACTGGCCAGGGCTATACACATTTTTATTTTACAGTTTTGTAACTCAAATTTTTTTCACATAACTTTTTTTTTTTTAATATAATTTATGTACCATAAAGTCCACCTTTTCTTTTATCCATCTTCACCATTTTAAAGTGTACAGTTTAGTAGTGTTAAATATACTCACTTTGTTGTGCAACAGATCACCAGAATTTTTTTGTCTTGCAAAACTGAAACTATACCCATTAAACAACTCCCAGTTCCCCCTTCCCAACCCAGTCCCTGGCAACCACCATTCTGTTTCTGTCTTTATGAATTTGAATTCTTTAGATATTTCATATAAGTAGAATCATACAGTATTTGTCTTTTTGTGACTGTCTTATTTCACTTAATATCCTCGTGGTTCATCCATGTTGTAGTCTATGACAGAATCTCCTTTATTTTTTTTTATTCTTTTTTTTAGTATGTTTTTATTGATGTTTTAGAGAGAGAAACATCGATGTAAGAGAGACAACATTTGGCTGCCTCCTACACGTCCCCCACTGGGGATGGAGCCCAAAACATAGGCATGTGCCGGCTGGGAATTAAACTTGGACCTCTCAGTCCATGGAATGACACTCTATTCACTGAGCCACACCAGCCGGGCAAAATCTCCTTTATTTTTAAGGCTAAATAATATTCCATTGTATGGATTTGCCACATTTTGTTTATCCATTTGTCAGTGGTTGCTTCCCCCTCTTGACTATTAGAAATAATGGTGCTGCATACATACGTGTGGAAAAATCTGTCTTCAAGACCCTCTTTTCAATTCTTTTGGGCATATACCCAGAAGTGGGATTGCTGGATCATATATGGTCACTGTATTTTTAATTTGTTAAGGAACCTCCATACTGGTCTCCATAGTAGCTGCACCATTTCATACTCTCCATCAACAGAGTACAAAGATTCCAGTTATCCACGTCCTTGCTGACACTTAATTTATGTTTTTAACTAGTAGCCATTCTAGTGATGTGAGGTGATAGATATCTCACTGTGCTTTTTTGTGTTGTTTTTAATCCTTACCAGAGGATATTTTTTTCCCACTGATTTTGAGAGAGAGTGGACAGGAGGGAAGAGGAGGAGAGAGAGAGAAACATAAATGTGAGAGAGAGAGACATCATTTGGTTGTCTCTCACATATACCCCAACCAGGGCCAGAGATGGAACCTTCAATTTAGATATGTGCCCTTGACCGGGACTTGAACCCGTGACCGTTCAGTGTGTGGACCAACACTCTAACCACTGCACCACATTGGCCAGGGCTCACTGTGCTTTTGATTTGCCTTTCTCTGATGATTAGTGGTATTGATTATCTTTGTATATGCATGTTGGCTATTTGCATATTATCTTTGGAGAAATGTCTGTTCAAGTCTTTTGCCCATTTTGTAATCAGGTTATTTGCATTTCTGATGTTGAGTTGTAAGAGTTCTTGATACGTTCTGGATATTAATCTCTTATCAGATATATGATTTGGCTTATACTATTAGGTTTTTTTATTTAGCTCCTGAAACTTGGTCTCCAGCTAAGTTTGTAAGTCAGAAACTTTAACCAGAGGCAGTCCCACCCCGCAGGCTGACATTCCAGAATTTATTGACAGAAAAAAGGAATACCCATGTTTCTTCAAGAATAAATATGCTCTATTTATTGTCAGTGCAACAGACAGTAAGCATGGGGTCATTCCTGAACTTGTGACGTTTTTCTGACCCTCTTCAGTGTTGCTGCAGCACCAGCTATGCCTGCTGTGTGCAGGCCAGTGACAGTGTGTGCTCTCTACCTTCAGCCAGCTGGTGGGCAGAGACCCACGCTGGAGAATGGTACACTCCCTCCTTACACACTGTAGGCAGGGGACCTAGGACCAGAGCTGGCTTGTTGCAACTGTACTTGTTACACAGTTTCTGTACCAGAGACCTTGGGGCCTTCTTACATCGTGTGACCTTCATAAAATTGCCTTGTAGTGTGTTTTAGTATTTATAAGTAAGAAATCTAACAAAGATTTTCATTATTTATACTTTTATTCATGCAATTAAAGAAGCATCTCTCTGTTAACTGTGCTATATTGTTTTTGCAAATTTTATACCTTATTTTCACTGTTATCCAGTATTTATTTATAGAATTTATCCAGGCATCTCACTTGATTCATAAAAATATATTTATCTCCCTAAATATAATTATTTTCACATTTGTAGTTCAAGGGGAAAGTACCTGAAAATATTCTCATTAGACATCAAGTTTCCAGTGGGCAGTGTCATCCCATCATTTTACCTTAGTAACTTCATACTGAACACACAGGGTCCAACACATAGCAAGTGCTTATTGCCTTAATGAATGAAAAATCCTAGGAGATGACCTTTGCAATATACCCTTTCCTGCTCTGGAACTGTCATTGTACCTCTCCCCAGAAGTCAGTCTCATTACTATTATTAAAGTAGTCATTATAAAGCGAAGATAATAAAAGAACAACATGAATATCATATAGTTTGGGTATTCTTTGAGATTCTTAGATTTTTAACCTTTAAAATGGAAACTCTGGAAGAGTTTGATGGTGAATTTAGTTTCTATAGACCAGTGGTCTTCCAACGACCTGTAGGGAAGCACTAGTGTGTGTTTATTTTTTATATAGTTTGTTTAATTACCAAAGCATTGCAGACTAATTTTCTTGTAAAATACAATAAAAGTAGTGGGGTGACATCAGGTTTCCATTAAATCTTCCTCTACTTGTCGTAGGCAGGTAACACAGGTCCACGGACCACACTTTGAGCAGCACTGCCATAGGATTCGTTTCGCTTCTTGTTTACCTAACCAGGTTTTTTCATATGTTGACGAATCATCATTTTGTACTGCAGTTTAATCCTATGGCTTAAGTACATCTTTCCAGTTTCCCTGTTCATTTTTTAAATATAAATATAATATAAAGTTCAAGGGAAGTGTAGGGAATTTCTTTTAGATTCTTTAAAAGTTTATATTTTCAGATAATTAGCTGAAAGAAAATTAAGCTCAAGATTTCTTTTTTTTTTATCCTCACCCAAGGACATTTTTCCATTTTTTGTTCAGATAGAGTGGGAGGGAGAGAGAGGAAGAGAGAGAGAGAGAGAAACATCGACGTAAAAGGGACACATCGAGTGGCTGCCACCCGCATGACGAACCAGGGCTGGGGGACAAACTGCAACTGAGGTACACGCCCTTAGCGGGAACCAAACCCGGGTCTCTCTGGACTGCAGGCTGACGCTCTAAGCGCTGAGCCAAACCGGCCAGGGCTAAGCTCAAGATTTCTTAATGCTTTGCTTTATTCCAAAATGTCTTATGACATATAGTCTCCTTAATTCTTTTCAGAACACACAGATAGCAGAGGATTAAGTCCTACAGGGAACTATTCAAATAAAAGCAGTCCTACCAAAAAAATTTTAACACATAATATCTAAATAAAGAACAGATTTTCCAAGCACTTCTCTTGAAATACCGGTGCTGAAATGCTAATGGCCTTGCAATGTGGACTGCACAATACACTACCCTGTTTTTCCTTTAAAATGTAGATTTTGATGAAAACAATTCTTCTTTAATATGTATTTCTGTGTGGTCTGTAAGATACTAAAAGTGCTTTTCCTTGGAATTTTTCTCTCGTCTTTTCGATTCTGATTAAAGTACAGCTGGAAAGGAAGTTACCAAAGTATAAATGGAGCACACATCACCTATTGGGGCTGAGTTTCTTTTTAGCTTGAGCAGCTCTTAAACAATGGACGGCTGTAGGGAATTAGAGAGCCAGCCACATGTGGGTACCAGGAGTTTTACACTGGTTCTTTTAATCCGAAGACTTTTTCTCTCAGCAGTTAAGCCATTTAATTGATTATTACAAACACAGATGTTTAACTGTGAGTGTGGTCTGACAAGATGTGTTCATGTTCAAGCCTGTGCTATAAGGACAAAGCCTGTGCTGAATTCAAAGTAGTGCTGAAAGGAGTCCATTGGTCAGTTATTGTGTGTTTTTAGGAAGACAAGCTATTGGTAAACTATCTACTGTCTATTTCCCCCCCACTGTATCAATAACTTTCAGAGAGATGACCTTTTGCCAAAAGTATGTGCAAGGTCCAATAGGTGAGCCATGCACACCTGCATTCAATAATCAGTATTATACTAACTTTTATTACAAATATTTATCAGTAAAGGTCTGAATAGGGTATTAAAGATATTGACTGTGATTTCTATTGTTTAACCCTTCAGTTTTGCTTTTTTTCACCTTACGCATGAAGAGGACTCTGCCGTTCTTAGTACTTAGATTCTGAGTTAGTTTCCAGCATTAACTGTGAAGTTGTGTTCCATCCCAATTCTTAATTCTCCCATGCCCAAGAGGAAAGTGCCTAAAATG